TTTTTTTTTTTTTTTTTATTTCTTCGCTATCTTTCGCAGTTGGGAAAAAGTATAATCGAAATGTATATAACGATTAAAATTCAATTTCAAATGGATAATTGATTAATTGGATAATTATTATGAATCACTTTATATGTTGAATTAATATGTATGTACTTTATATAAGTTTTGTTCAAGCAGTTATTAAAAATGATAAGAATTAAGACATTATAATCGACGATCTTTCGAAGAGAAAAATAATATTTGTGATAAACTTTTATTATTCGAGTATTCGATAATCATTATTCAATATATTTTTTAGAATGGAAATAAAAATCGATGAGAATATTTTTGAGAAAGTGCTTCGAAAGAAATTACCTAACGAGATCGTTCAAATTCTGGAAATTAAACGTCACTGTATGTCAGAGAAAGGATTAAATTTCCTCAGTGATTTATATATAATGCATGTGAGATATACGGTTATTTCTAATAATAAGAAAAATGAAACAAAATCGGAACGTTCGATCAATTTTATTATTAAAACCGAACCTCTGAACGGATTGTCGTGCGAGATCGCTCGCCAACAAAATGTATTCCAGATCGAATTGAAAGTTTTAAAAGATATTCTGCCGAGAATAAAAGAATTTATCTCTCATCAAATTGGACCGAATTTATTATACTCTTCTGATAACCCTCCATTTTTCATTATGGAGAACTTAAAAGACAGAGGATTTATCATGAAAAATCGTCAAAAAGGATTATCACATGAACATTGTTCTTTACTTATAAAACAAATTGCGAGATTACACGCTGGATCTGTTGCAATTTTTGAAAAGGTAGGTAACCACATCGAAGATTATATTTTAAATAGGAATATTTATCGATATTTTAATTTTTAAATTTACGAAACTCGAATCTAAAACTTTTTAGATTCGTATTATTTTCCAATTGTAAATTTGTTTTTAATATTTAAAAACTTTACGAGTGTTTAATCAATATTAATAAAGATTGATCTTACAGGATCCAGAATTAATTAAATTTTTCAAAGATGGTGGCATCGTGTCGGTTAAATGTCCTCAAATTTTTATACGAATGATGGAAGTAAGTCTTTTACGGATAGGTAATCAAATACAAAAATGGTCAGATGAAAAATGTGCATGTACAGCGAGCAAGTTAATAAAATTAGCAGAAACTATCGGATCACGATGTACGGATGTCTATAATTATGACGAGAATGAATTCTGTGTATTAAATCACGGTGATTGTTGGATCAATAATATGATGTTTAAAGAAAATGAGAAAGGTCAACCTATCGATGTTTTATTGGTAATATTTTTTTTTTCCATGTATATTAATAGAGAGTAAGGCGAGAGTATGATTTCTTTCTCTTTTAATTAAATTTATTATATATTTTAGTGGAATCGTATTTTTAATTTTGCTTCTTCATGATTGTACAATATAATATTTTTCAGGTTGATTATCAAATGTCTGTTTATACATCTCCAGCTATCGATTTATTATACTTTTTGAATATTTGTCCAGAAATTGATATAAAATACGATAACGACGATTATTTCCTCGGGATATATTTGGACACTTTAGAGGAAACTATGAAAAATATCGATTGCAAAAGAAAATCACCGACGATGAGAGAATTAAAAGCAGCGTTGTATAAAAGAAAAATATACGCTGTTTTTGCTGGAATCGTGCTTAATTTACGAATGCTGGCAAATAAAGAAGATACCGAGGATTTTGACGATTTATTTGGCAAGTTAGGTGAAACTAAAATGAATGTTTTCAAAAGTCCAGACGCGGTGAAATTAGCTAAAAAAATGATTCCAATCATGAATGAAAGAGGTTACTTCGATTGAAAAAACTTATTTGAAATAATATTAAAAGAAAATCTCTAAAATTTTAATTCTCTATAAATAAAATTTTTTTAAATAATAGAATTTTAACTGATACAAACATGACAATGTTTGAGATAAATATGAAACTTAGAGATCAATAAATATTATTTTTATTTATAATAATTTTTAATACTTATTTATTTTAATTTGATTACATTATCATATTTTACAAAAACATTTCCTTATTTAATTTAATGTCACTAGTCATTCCAGGTGCCGAATAACACCTTAATCTTTTAATTCTTTTTATCTCATCTATGATCGCAAATTATTTAAAGTTACAAAAGAAGCAAAAAAAAAAAAAAAAAAAATTTAGAAAAGCAAAAAATTGAAAATTAGAAAATCATATCATAAAATCTTATTAATATTTTTCATTTGAAAATTTGCTATTAAATCTCGTATTCCCTCAATGACTTTTTATGTATTAATTTCACAGGTTTTCATTCACTTGATCAACAATTAAGAGGATTTTCGATTGCAGTGAATTGAAGATTTCTCTCCCAGCGAGGAAAAAGTAGCTCGCTTCGACACAGTTTGATGAACTTTCGAAAAGATCCTTGGAGGGCGAACGCTGCGACCTTGGCGGTCAGCCTGTAGGAATTGATTTATAATAGGGCAGTAAAGCAGTAGGCTAAAAGGTCTCTGAAAGCATCGTCTCGGTAACCTACATCGTGAACAGAGAAATTGTTGTGGCAAGCCTCGATGGGGTGGCTTTTGCCTCGAGGTGAATCTTCGCTACCGGGACGACGAAGAGAAACGCGTTG